GCCCCTCCCCCACCACGCCCCCGGCTGTGTCGCCCGGTCCCCGCCTGCGCGTCTCGGGGACCGAAACGGCCTTCCCGGGAGGCGACGGGCGGAGGCTGCTCTCCGGCGGCAGCCAGGAAGTTCCGCCGCGGGTCGGCCTGGCCCCTCGGCCGCCCAGGGCGTCGGGGCCTCGGGGCCTGTCACAGCCGCCCACCCGGCTCCTCGTGCTCCCAGCTGCTGGCTCCAGGGCAGCCCCCACACTCGCACCTTACAGCCCCTGACAGGCCCACCCTTCTGCCTCAGGGGCCCCAGGCAGACCTGCCCAGCTCCCAGCTGGGGTTCTCACTCAGACCCTGAGGCTGAGGGGGCCTCCCCACCTCTCCAACCTCCGCGGTCTGCTCCCCCCCCCACACACACACACAGGTCAGGCAGCCTGGGGTCTGCCCTGGAGCCCTCCGCTGCAGCCTCCACCCGCCCAAGCTGGACAGAGCCGAGCCAGGAGGTGCCCTCCACAGCCTGGGCTCTCCCCATCCGCCCACCACGGGACTGTCCAGTGCTGCCTCCCGCAGGGGCACAGCCTCCGAGCAGACACGGGGTTCTGACACCTGGCATCTTCTGAGCTGCGTGACCTTGGGAAGTTACCTGCCACCCCTTCAGTTTCCTCCTCTCTAAAAGGAGGGGGTCCAGAGGAGGGAACAGGCTGGTGCACACGGCACCCCTACTCCTGCTATCTGAGAGCCCCAAGTCATCGCTACCGAATTTGGGGTGTTATACAACCCTCTCTCTTGTCCTCCTTCTCAGCAGTCATCAGAAGCAGCACCAGAACTTTCTAAGCTCCCCGAGGAGGCGATACAGGACCTGGGCAGGGCTGGGGTCACCCCTGAGGAACCCCTGCCCCTCTGCTTTTTCTCCTGAGCCTTTTCCATAGGGAATGACGTGACCCATTTTGCAGAAGAGCAAAGGCCTGAGAGGTCAAGACTTGGCCAAAGCTGCAGGGGAAGCAGGGCCAGCGGAGGACCGAGGGTTCGATGGCTCTGCAGGCACCGTCCCCCAGCCTCAAGCTAGCTGCCCCTGTAGCGTGCAGGTGGGGAGGGCATGCTGGCAGGTGTCCAGAGCCCAGGGAGTCTCATCCCTGGCTCCTCAGTCCGCCTGAGATACCAGGAAGGAGCTGAGGCCCAGGGTTGGGCTGGGTCACAGGCGAGCCCACATCCTGGTGGCACGGGGCACGGGGGCAATAAGAACCCTAACTTGGCTCCATCCTGCCACCCTGTGGGCACACCAGACCAGTGAGGGCGGGGAGAGGAGGGTCTGCAGGAACAAGCCTTTTCCTCTTCCCTTCCCAGCATGCTCACAGCCCTGGACCAGAGCACAGAGACCCTCAATCTTGCATGTAACACTGTCTAGGGGTCTCAGTGCCAGCCAGCGCTGGGGTCCAGTCCAGGCCTCCTCCTCCGAGTGTGGAACTCGGACACCAGGCCTCCTGAAGGCCTAAAGGCAGCCAGAAGGATAGCAAGGGAGAGTCACTCTCTAGGTCTGAGCGGGGGGAGCCAGGCTGACTGGGGCCAGCAGCCTGGCACATTCCCAGACCCGCTGGCCAGTCCTCAGGGCGCCAGGCCGACTGCTGCAGGTCCCTCCTGGGAGCCAGCGAGTTGAGGGGGCCTGGCCCTGCCCTGGGCGCTAATTATCTTAATATCTCCCGGAAGCAGAGTAAAACGGGGGCATGCTACCCACTCTGCTGAGGGACCAGCAGGGCATTTTCCTCCTACCTCAGGCCCCGCTAGGCCATAGAAAGAGCAGTCACTAACCGCCCTGGAGATGTCCACCCAAGGCCAAGGCCACACTTCACCCAGAGCCAGCAGGAAGAGGACAGGCTCCCAGCCTCGACCCTCTCTCCCGCCAGTGTCCTCCTGGCTCTGGCAGGCCCAGCTGCCCACACTGGGCCCTCTCTCGGCTACCCCTCACTTTACTGAGAGCAACTCCCAAAGCATGCTGGGAGCTGTCTTTGCCTTTCTCCCTTTGAATGTTGAGGATAATCCTTCCACCCACTCTCTGAAAGCTAAGGGAGGCTCAGAGAGGCAGAACTGTGGGCAAAGCCACTCAGCAGCATGGCCAGATTTAATTTCTGTCCTTTCAACCAGCCCTGCAGACCTACAACAGTGCAGACCACCAGACTCTGATGACCAGATCTGCCTGGGACCCTCTGCAAATAAGCCCAAGGCTCAGAGAAAGAAGGTGCCTCAGACGCACCCCAAGCCAGGCAAAGCCCTCGGCTGGCAGAACCTTGCCCAGGGCCTTGAGAGTGGAGGGACTCTGGATGAGCCTTCCTGGCTGTTCTGGTCATCAGTCATGCCTGCTGTCCAGCAGAGCAGGAGACCGTGTGGTCCTGACTCAGGACTCTGCTCACATCCCAGGAAACCACCGATTTCCTCCATCCAACATCCCCTTAAAGACCCTGGGGGGAAAAGTGGGAAGTTCTTCCTCAAGTCTAACTGACACGATGGCTGCTGCAGGACGCTCATCTCAGCCACACTTGTACATGTGAGAGACCATTCTCAGCCATTCCTCTGAGCCACAGACATGGACTATCTGGGTCACAGAGCTGTCCCATGCCTGAGGAATCTGGGTCAGTCACACCTAGTTTTTCAGGGACCGAGGGCAGTGATCCCCTTCTTAGGAATCAAAGGGGCAGCAGGTTATTGAGGGCTGAGCATCACTGGGGTTTCAGGGTGGGGCTCCCCACTCAGGCAGGGGATCCTAGGGAAGAACTGGGCCTCCTGTCAGACAGGGGCCCTCAGGGCTGTGCCTCTTCCATTAGATCAGTTTCCCAGCAGGTCCAGCCACTCCCTACAGGTCACCAGTCACCCCTGATGCCACCTATCCCTTTCCTCTCAAGGATACCCATGATGTCTATGCCACCAAACTCATATCCCTTCTGCCTGACCTCTGCACTTCTTCATGCCTGACTGGACACCAGAACAAAGCCTAACCCTGCCCTCCACTCCAGCTCAAGCCACCTGCTCTGGGCAGCAGGACCAGCCATTACCCTGGATGCTGTTACAGGGGTACTGGCGTCCTGTCTCCATGGAAGCATCCAAATAGGGGGCCCTTGCTAAGCCAGGCTTCTGCCTTCATGAGACCTCCTGCCGGCCCAGAAGCCAGTGCTATTCTGAGGCTACGTGTTGTCAGGGTCCCCTGGGAGGTGATGGGCTAATTCGTACTCAAGTGTGAATGACTCACCAGGATTCCTCCCACACTGCAGAAAGAAAAGACTCAAGGGTGCATAATGGAGGAATTTAGGCACTGAGGAGCCCATCAAAAATGTATTGATCTAGCTTTCAAGAGGCTTCTTCCCTGCCCCTCAATTCCTCCCCATCTGTCCCAGGTGCACCTCCAGTGCCTAGCCCGTCATCGTCCTCCCAGGTGCTCCTCACTCCCCACCCCATCACTGTGCCAGGTGTGAGCTTCACGTAGCTGGCCTCCATGCATTGCCTTATCAATCACTTCTCAACTCCTAACTGACTTCTTAGCTGTAGCATTTTACCTCCTCCAGGAAGTCAGTCCAGATCTAACTTCCCACGACCCTCTAGCACTGCCCTGATGGCCAGCAAATGCCAGGTCAGTCAGATCACTGGAGACTAGAACAGCTTGCCGGCTCTAGCCTACTCCTGGGCAGTCCCCCTGACGTGCTAGTCCCTGGACGATGCAGCCTTGTTCTCCAGGGCTCCCCTTAGACACTGTCAGCTCCAGGAACCCCCCTGACCTCCAGTATATACCCCCGCCCCCCATCTCATCCACAGAGCCTGCAGCCCTCAGACTGGCCACTCTGAATTCCAAGGGCAGGTTGGTGTCTGCCTCCCCCATAAAGTCATTCTCCCATGCCAGGGTCAAGTGCCAGTATTCCTAGCCCAGAGCTAGAGGACCACTGCATCCTGGGGTTCAGACGCCTGCCTGGCCTAGGTCTTGTTAGGTTCAGCTCCTCTGGCGGCCTATGTCCTGGCTGTGGGGGATTCTGAGGGCCTCTGTCAGTGCTGACAGCCGGGAAGCTCATGTTCCTGCCACACCAAGATGTCTATCTCCTGACTCTTCCGGCGCCACTGTGTCCTGAGTCAGCAACTCTGTGCTGGACAGACTCGTCTGGAAACCCAGCCCAGTGGGCCCAGTAGACCTTCATCTGACCCCCAGGTCAGATGAAAAGGGGCACAGGACCCAGGGCAGCCCCCCAGGCGGCAGACCAGGGTTCCTGGGGTGGGCAGGGTGCTGGGCTTCTCGCCACATAAAGCAGTGCTCTGGGCTGTGGTAGAGTCCTGTGGATTGCACTCCACCTACGGATGCCTCCTAGGAAGCCTGCCGACCCATGCGAGGGCCACAGCCCCACTGTCCCTCACTCAGAACCCAACAGACCAGACCCTCAGCTGGGCCTGCCTGCTCCGCTACCTAAGCCTGGCAGCCAGGGGACCTGCTCACCTCTCTGCACACTCTAGCCACAGTCACCTTGGCCATCCCTTGGCTCCAGCAGGTCCAAATTGTCATCACCCATCAAGCCAGCCTGGGACACTCTCTCCGAGCACCACGCACTGCAGAATCTCAGACACTCATCTCTCACTTGCTCTCCCAATTCTTCTACTCACGCTGACTGGCACCGAGTTGTCCACTCTCTGCCTCTTCCCTGCACCAAATGGGTGTATCCTGGTTCCCCAAGGGGAGGAGTGGGCTGCAAATCCCCCTTAGAGCTCAGCCTACAATCAACACCACTTTAATTGTCACTATAACCTTCACTCACATAACAAACGGTCACCACCAACATCAGTAACAACACTAACACTATAACCAACAACCCCCCCACTATCACCGACATCATCCCCGTACCATCAGCATCATCAACACGAGCATCATCACTATTGTCAACGTTACCACCACCATCAGTACAGCCACCATTAATACTACCATACATCACTCCACCATCACCGTGATCACCATACTGTGACCAACACCACTGTCAACATTAC